ACATTTAATTTAAAAAAAAAAAAAAAAAAAACCTTTTTTAACTACACATTTTTCAAAAAAAAGTAAAAATATTCCAACTGTTAAAATTTCAAATAACTTGCTTCTTGTCTAACACGGCACAAGTCTTCCACTCCTCTCACTATCCAATTATCACATGGAATTTAAAGCTTGACGTTATTCATGAGAGAATAAGAGCTTGTTCGGGAAAGATTTTTTTAAGTAAAAAATAATTTTTTTGAAGCATGTGTGGTTAAAAAAATAGTGAAAAATTATAAATATCATAAAGTGTATGGTTGAAAATGAATTTCAAAAAAATCTTTTTTCAAACGATATGTGTGTGTGTGTGATGTGTTAAATGGACAAACATGCTCATCACAAACAAGTCACATGCCACAGCTCCACATTCCAAACTAGGGATGACAACGATGAGGGTATGAGACAGATCGGTTATCTTCACCCCCGTCTCGTTGAGTATTTTTTTTACCTTGCCCTATTATCATACTCGATTAAAGCGGGACGTGACGGGGATCAAGGTGGAGCATGGCCCTGCCCCATTTATTTTTTATTTTTTATATCTTTAATTAGTAAATATTATTACCTTTTTTTTACTAATTTGTTAAAAATAACTTATGTTTTCTTTAAAAATGATGATAAATCTATTATTTATGCTTGATAAAAAATTTAAATTTGAAATTAACTTTGAAAGGGAAGGGTAGCGGGACGGGGACTATGTTTACCGTACTCGTCCTATACCCGCTTCTGGGTAATGACCTTCGCCCCGTCCTACCCTCGCCCTGTTTACCTGGTTAGGTAAGTAATATTCGCCCCAAATGGGGAGGAATCCACTAGTATCGGGTTGAATGAATTTTTTTACCATCACTATTCCAAACAAGCCTCGTTAAGCTTCAGTGTCGGTCTAAAACAAAATCGATTTATCACCTTACTTAACCTAATTTCACTCTATTAATGTCATAAGCTAATAATTAGTTTGCCTAATTGCAAAAAAAAATAAGCTCAAGATTTTAGATATTTTACAAGAAGAGGAAGTTTAATATGGAAATGGTCTCAACTGGTTACTTGAATTTTAATTCCCATTTGATCTTTCAATTATGAAGCCGCCGCCGCCTTCTTCTCCAAAAATTAAAGTCATTGTTTTCTAATTAAATTCCACCAATCATAGGTTGACACGTCCTAGTCAAAGTGTCACACAATGTGAAAGAGAGTTGTAACGTTATTGACATTGACACGTCCAATTTCGTGTTCCTCATTCCATGTTGACCATTCAACTTCCAATTTGAGTTCTAGGCCTCGTCAATTTATACAATGCAGGAATTTTTTACCCTACTAATAATTAGCCTCAAGATAGACCAAATTAAACACAAAAAATTCACACTATATAAAAGAGCTCTTCACCTAGAAATTCTATGATTCTCTTTTCTCGTTTTCAACAAATTTTAAGGTATTCAAAGTTGACTGACTCGACTCGACTCGACTCAAACCCATTTTAACTATAAAAAAATAAATAATTATATTAAAATAAAAGTTTCTAGACAAATGTAGACTTGAGAACGTGGCAAGAGGGTCGTGAGAATCTATAGAGAAACTTCAATACGCAGACAACCAACACGTCTCTTCGGGCGTCAACAAGAAATTAAGCATATTTCCACGAACCATAATAAAAATCAAAGAATATTATTATACTATTATAATTTGGAAAAAGAAATTAAAAAAAAAAAACGTGTGGGCTCCACTTAAAACATGCAATGACCCTTTTATAAACACATACTCTCTGTTCAAAGTTTCTCACAAAACCCGTTTGATTCTCTTCATTGAGTTCTTCACCAAATTATTTTTCAAGAAAATCAGTTCATAAACAAACAGAAACAAAAAATGAAAATGTCTTTTGTTCTCTTCTTTGCATTCGCCATGTTTCTTCAAGGCACACTAGGTACAAGTTTACATACACTTATTACATAATTTACACAATAACACAAACAAATTATTATAACTACGTTAATATTTAAGGATTAATGCGTATATGTGTCTGCTTTTGTGGGTTTTAGGTGAAGTAATCTGCGAGACTTTGCCTGCAAATCTCTGTTCCTTTGCAATTGCATCATCTGGAAAAAGGTGCGTTTTGGAGAATTACAGAGATGAAGAAGGGAAGCTGGAGTATACATGCAAAACATCAGAAGTTGTTGTTGAGAGAATTGCTGGATATATAGAGTCTGATCAATGTGTTAATGCATGCGGGGTTGATCGGAGCTCCGTAGGAATTTCCTCCGACGCCTTCCTTGCGCCGCAGTTTACCGCTAGACTTTGCTCGCCGGCTTGTTACCAGAACTGCCCTAACATTGTTGACCTCTACTTCAACCTCGCTGCCGGCGAAGGTGAGAACTTATCAGATTTTGTTAATTATCTTATTTAAAAGTTTATGTTATTAAAGATAACAAGTACGCCCCTCGAACATAGAATAGATTCATTTTTTCATTAAAGACGTGAGACGTGCACAATTTTTATAATTACATCTAGAGTTAAATCCTGTTGATAAGCCCATGTTTGGTTTTGCACAAAAAAAAAAAAAAATTTTTTTTTAATAGATTTTGATAATAGTTAATGAAATATATGGTTGAAAAGTTGATAAAAATTGTGTATCTCATAAAATGTGTTGAAAAAACGAGTTCTGAAAATTAGAGACAAACGGGGGTTAATGTTTATGTTTTTACTATTTAGAATGAAAAATGTAGCCATTATTGTGGCTCAGATAAGAGATAGAAAATTTAAATTTAAATGTTAATGTAATGAATAACGATTATATTTTTCATTTTAATGAAATAATAATGTAGACCAAACGGGGGCTATATATAGTCTTCTTGAAATTGGAAGTTTGATTGGCTAAGCATAAAAGTTAAGCCCATGTTTAAGCTCCATTTTTCATGAAATTCGTTTTTTCAATACTCGTTTTTAACCACACATTTTCACATAAAATAATTTTACATGCAAATTCAAAACTTTTCCTTATTTTTCAACCACACATTCTCCAACTTTTTACTATTTCAAAATGCATTTTCCTGATAAAATGGAGTCCAAACAAGAGCTAAAATTCACTTATATTGAGAGTATATCAATGTGTACTTGACCCAAGATATAATGAGAATCGTCCCGTTCCAACCTGGACTTAGTCTATTTTCAGCATGTGTGACAAGTTTGAAATTAGAAGTTTCGTTGGTTAAGCTTGAAATTTATAAGTCACATAATTCTTAAATGTTTCTTTGGAATAAAATTCAGTTCACATAAAGACTAACAAAAAGGAATTTTTATGCTTTACTTGACCCTCAATTTCTTGAAGTTTAATTAAAGTATTTTCTTTATATAAAAAATGGACACATGACTAAATTTTCTATTTTTAATAGTTGACTTTACAATAACTAATGATGTTATACAACAATTTTCAGGAGTATATTTGCCTGCTCTCTGTGAGAAACAAAAGACAAACCCCCGCCGGGCCATGTTGGCGCTTTTGAGCAGTGGCGACGCCCCCAGTCCGGCGGCTATCGACTCTTTCGGCAGAGTCGCTGATGCTCCTGCACCTGCATCTATCTAATTAATCTACCCAAATTATAGTTTAATTATACTATTCATGAAAAAATAGGGAAAATCAAATATATACAGTGTTTTGGATTGGCTTATGATTATAGTATTTTTGTGATATTAAATTTAATTTTTGAAATCGAGTTGAATAATGTTATTGTACTTATGGTTTTATGGTAAAAATCATTTTTCTTTAAGTTCATTTTTAATCATATATTCTCTCAATAAAATAATTTTATCATACTTTTTAATCACATCCTCCAAAAAATTACTATTATAAAATCGATGCTCAAACAAACCCTGAAAATCATTGGCTACGAGAATTTTGTATGGCGAGTCTACTCTTTTAATCACTATTTATTGGAACATGGACTCATATAAATTCTTTGCAACACAATTTCATTTTAATTAACTTTAGATTTTATTATGTTCGACGCACTAGCGCCGGTCTTGAGATTTTTGGGGCTCGAGGTGAACATCATAATTTAGGCCTCACAAAAAGAAAAAAAAAAAAAAATTGGATTAAACCCGAGAAGGCAACCCAATCCAAACTCTCAATAATAGATTTAACCCAAAAATTTAAAAAAATGAAAAAAAATAAATAAATTAGAACTCTATGCTTTAACAACACATTACCCTTGTATAACAATTATAAACCCCAATAATTCGACCTTTATCTAAAAACTAGTACCACTGCTTGGTGGAGAGGAAAATTAAGGCATAAGCAATTTATTCAAGCCCCCCAATATTTCAACTCGGAAGCCATCGACAACCATATTCGAATTTGGTCATACTCTACATCACAATATCAAAATCACAAATCACGAAATTTGACGTCCAATTTCTTGTTCCTCATTCCACATTGACCCTTCAATTTCCAAATTTGAGTTCTAGGCCTTGTCAAATTGAATAATGAAAGAATTTTTTTCACCCTATTAATGATTAGTCGTCAAAATCTTGTTTAGTACATAAAATTAGATCAAATTAAACTCAACAACTCACACTAAATAGAAGAGCTCTTCACCTTGAGCTTGTACAATTTTCTTTTCTCGTATTCAACAAATTTAAATGTACTCAAACTCAACTCGAACCCATATCAACTATAAAAAAGTAAAATAATTATATTAAGCTCCTATTTGGTAGGAATTCTAATATAGATATTAATTTAAGTCAAAATTAATAATTCATTTCAGCTACATTTTTTATGGGATCCACAATTTTTTAATCACACACTTCATCAAAATTTGGTTTTAATCTCTACTGAATATAAGCTAAAATAGAATTTCCTAGACAAATGTAGACTTAAGACCGTGGCAAGAGGGTCATGGAAGCTTCCATAGAGAAGCTTTAATATGCAGACGAACCAACACGTCTCGTTCGGCGTCAACAAGAAATTAAGCATATTTCCATGAACCCTAAGAAAAGTATATTATTACTAGCTATATAATTTGGAAAATTAAATAAAAAAACGTGTGGGCTCCACTCAACACATGCAATGACCATTGTATAAACACAAACCCTCCATTGAAAGTTTCACACAAAAGTGACAAAACCCACTTGATTCTCTTCATTGAGTTCTTCATCAAATTATTTTTCAAGAATATCAGGTCGCGAACATACAGAAAATGAAACTGTATTTTGTTCTCTTCTTTGCATTCTCCATGTTTCTTCAAGGCACACTAGGTACAAATTTA